TCCCCAGACTCTTACAGCTTTTATCTTGTTGTATTTCTCAACTGCAGTCTGCACTGGCCATGTGTACAAGACACTGCTCATAAGCATTCTGGGTGGCTTCAACTATGACTCATAATCCCAACACTTTCTTTTCTTCAGCCACATTATTCTTCTGTGTTTTTCCTAATGTTCTACTTCTTTAAAGTTGTATGAGTCAGTACTTGCAACATCTAGGTACATGCAAAGAGTGATTCCAATGAAGAGAACTACACCACTTCAGTCTGCAAGTCAGCATGCACATGATCAAAGTGCTCCTCCACTGAAAACAAAACATCATGAAAACAAACAATCAGGCTGTCAACGAGACAACTGTACTAAAATGTCTCCCTGGCATTATGGCAGTTAGAAAAACAAAAGAAATAATGTTGTATGGTCCAAGTGCAAATTACAGAAACGGGGTTGCATGAGACCTCTTGTTGTTTAGTCATTAAGTCGTGTCCGACTCTTCGTGACCCCATGGACCAGAGCACGCCAAGCCCTCTTGTCTTCCTCTAGTGATATCTCTAGTGAACCACTAAAATATTATTTTAAAAGTAAGCTTTTGAGTCCTGCAAGATCTTAATTAGACTCTGTGATCTTATTCTGATCTCAGAATTTCAGCTTTGGAACTTGCTCTTTAGGATATAGCCAGGATGTTTTTTTGGACTTTTGGTTTCTCTCTGGCACCAGTAGGACTTGACATTTTATCTTTTTATATTTTAGTGGTCCAATAAAGATATTTCCTGTTATTTGGAGACATTCAGTCATTTATACCTTAATCCAGAGGTGGTGGAGTCTAAATACAGATGTATTATCTTCTGTTTGTGAAAAATGGAACTGACCAGCACAAAGTTGAGTAAAATTCAAGAACACACTCCATGTTTGCAGGAGATATGCACAGCCCATTTAAAAAAATGAAAGGAGAAAGGAAAGACATGACTTGAAAAGTGAGATACAGTGGTGCCTCGCATAGCGAGGTTAATCCGTTCCGGATTAACCTTCGCTATAGCGAAACATCGCTGAACGGGACAGGGAAAGCCATTGGAATGCATTAAACATCGTTTAATGCGTTCCAAAAGGCTTCTTTACTCACCGTTCAGCGAGGTTTCCTATGGCCGGCAGGCATTTTCGCGCCCTCGTTAAGTGAGGGGAGGGTGCGAAAATGCTGCGCGCGGCCATTTTGGGGCTTCCGGCAGCCATTTTGTCCGCCAAACAGCTGATCGTCGGAGCTTCGTTTTACGAAGATCGGTAAGTGAAACGCTTACCGATCTTCGCAAAGCGAATTTCTCCCTATCTAAAGCTCGTTGAGCGATCGCATTAGCGATCCGAAACAACGGATCGCTATGCGATTTCGTCGTTATACGGTGCGCTCGTTAAGCAAGTCACCACTGTACTATAATACAATACCACAGGAATGTTTACAACATCGATTCCTACACTTGCTATCAAAAGAGGGATGGGTCGTTTTCAAAATACAGTGGTGCCCCGCATGACGACGATAATTTGTTCTGTGAAAATCGCTGTTTAGCTAAATCATTGTCATGTGAAAACCATTCCCCCATGCATTGAAACCCGTTTAATGCATTCCAATGGGGAAAATACCTCGTCGTTTTGCAAACATTGCCCATAGGGCAGCCATTTTGCGGAGCGCCGATCAGCTGTAAAAATGGCTGTCCTGTGAAGCATGGGTCCAGAAAGCACAGGGCAGCCATTTTGCGAAGCCGCCGATCAGCTATAGAAATTGTCGTCTTGCGAACAAACAGTTCGCGAAGCACGGACCAAATTGTCCTCAAGTGAAAATCACCCATTGGAATGACTGTTTTGCGCATCGCTATAGCGATCGCAAAAAGTCATTGTTATGCAGATTCGTCGTTTAGCGGGGTCATAGTCTAGCGAGGTACCACTGCATATTGTAATGCAGTATGTGCCTTGGAAATATCCTGTATTCCATGTAGAAACAAAACTGTTTTCAAAGGTTTGAGGAGCAGACACAGCTTCTGAAAAACTGTGCTCAACCAGTTCCAACATGCTGTATAAATATTTTTAAAGGAAGATTATGTGTCTAAAGAGGGATGTGGTGGTGGTGCAGATTAAACCACAGAAGCCTCTGTGCTGCAAGGTCAGAAGACCAGCCATTGTAAGATCAAATCCATGCAACGGAGTGAGCTCCCCTTGCTTGTCTCGGCTCCTGCCAACCTAGCCATTCGAAACCATGTAAAAATGCAAGTAGATAAATAGGTACCACCTCAGTGGGAAGGTAACAGTGTTCTGTGTCTAGTCACGCTGGCCACGTGACCACGGAAACTGTCTTTGGACAAATGCTGGCTCTACGGCTAGGAAACGGGTATGAGCACCACGCCCTAGAGTCAGACATGACTGGACTAAATGTCAAGGGGAACCTTTACCTTTACCTTATGTGTCTAAGAATTCCCATAGATCAGCAGTGATGTATCTGTGGTGTTCCAGATGTTGGTGGACTGTAGTTCCTACTAGTCCCAGCAAGCATAGCCAGTGATGACTGAAGTCAAGGATTGGACCACAGATTCCTACTCCTTCAATAGGGCACATAAACTATCAGTATATATGTGCTTCAAGCAAAAGATGGGTCTTAAGGAGAAGGGCAAAGCCAGTATTGTAGAGAGCTACTTGTTCAGGGTTCCAGCCAGCCAGTCACACTTTTTTTCATTCCCACTCCTCTTCTCTCCCATTTTCACCTTTTCTCTACCAGTTAACCAGCATACCTATAGCCACTAAGCATACTTATTAGGCTGTTCTGAGGATTTCTTCCTGCTTAAGAATTTTTCTCATGAAAATCTGTTGTACCTCCACAAGTCACTGGGGTTTCTCCAGGCTTGCTGATCTCTTCTGTGTGAATGGTGCTACACCAGGAGGGACCAACTGGATAGTGAAGAGGCACAATGCCACTTTAAGGATTTAAGGAGACTAGTCATATAAGCAAAGCAACAAAGGGGGTAAGTGGCTTTAGTCGCAGAATATTGGAGAGATATGAGGGGACCAAGGTGAACAAAAGGTACCTGGATGTTTTGAATTTTACTACTGAAGAAAGCAGCAAAGTGTTGGCAGTGATCAAGGAAGGGATAGGTGGTAGGATAGGCCTTTGTAGGGCCATCGGAAGTCAGGCATGAAAAGTAGAGGAGAGGCATTAAGGATTGATACAAGTGGAGTTGATCAGTAGTGGTGTTACATGGCAAATGAGAATATGACATTCTGTATGAGTCAAGCAATTCTTTTAGCCCTCTCCAGAGACATTCAGCTGTACGAAAACATAAACTAAGTCATAAAATGGAAGCAGTGGAACAGGGAGGACTGGAGATGGGGAAAGTGATGAGAATGTTTTTTTACCAGAGCAATCCTCCCTGTGAGTTTCCATGGCAGAGCTGAGGAATCAAACACACTGGATATCCATAATAATAATAACTGTTATGTGCCATCAAGTCACCTCCAATTTATGATGATTCTATGAATGAGTGATCTCCAAAATGTCCTGATCTCAATGGCCCTGCTCTCCTGTGGCTTCCTATTTGTTCTTTTTATTTTTCTGCTGCCTTCCAACTTTTCCCAGCAATAATAAATAATAGGTAAAGGAAAAGGTTCCCCTTGACAATTTTTGTCCAGTCGTGTTCGACTCTAGGGGGCGGTGCTCATCCCCGTTTCCAAGCCATAGAACCAGCGTTTTGTCCGAAGACAATCTTCTGTGGTCATATGGCCAGTGTGACTTAGACACGGAACGCTGTTACCTTCCCACCGAGGTGGTCCCTACTGATCTACTTGCATTTGCATGCTTTTGAACCGCTAGGTTGGCGGGAGCTGGGACAAGCAACGGGCGCTCACTCCATCACGTGGATTCAATCTTACGACTGCTTGGTCTTCTGACCCTGCAGCACAGGCTTCTGCGGTTTAGCCTGCAGCGCCACCACATCCCTTGAATAATAATAATAACCTGCTGTCAAATCAATTGCAACTTTGCAACTTGTAGCAACCTCTCCCAGGGGTTTAACTCAATGGGTTATCCAGCCAATAGCTATTCCCTGACTCATCCCAAAAAGTCTCCTTTCTATCTACAAGCTAGAAATATTGCTGAAAATTGTGGAAAACCCATTGTGGAATTAAAGTCTCCACCACTTGTCTTAACTTTTGTTATACTAGTCTAAGTTCAGTAACATGCAGAGTTATTTGCATTACATATGTGCTAACAATGTTTCATTCTCAGACAATTCATTATTTTTAAGAAGACCTGATTAACTTCAACTGAGAGAACAGTCAAGAAACACAGCATTGTTTATTTCTTGCAAAAACACCAACTCAGGCTCACAATGCTAGACTTCTGGCAGCTATATCAATTGGAAGCTGCCTGCAGAATGGGCTGCTGCCCGATACTCATTTTTGAGGTAAAAAAAGGAACCTCCGCGTTATGCCTCAAAACATGCCTTCTCTTCTCTCATACTGTTCCTTCTGGTATTTCATTAACACTAGAACAGAAGGCCCGGGAGAAAACAATATGTATTTCTTTCAGATCAAAAGGGATATTCACATATTTCTAGATGGGGACTTTTATGAAATTCACAAGCTTAGATACATTAGAATTTTAATTAGCTATATAAACATTCACATATAAAATGTAATATCTTAATTATTTTCATGGAATTGGCATGTATTAAATTACAGGAAATTGTTATGCTATCCTCATTTCTTTCATGACATTGTTCCTTTAAAAGGTTTGGTAAGAGAACTTCATTATTCAATTTATTCAGTTTTGTTGCTCAACTTTTAATAACAATTTCAGGCTTATTTTCAGTGCTGACTTTGCACCTAATCCTCTAATAAGTTGTCTGAATAGTTGTATTTTCAACACAAACGAATTTCCTATCCTATCAGATTTTAAAACCTTGTTTTTAAGCTCTTATTCTGAAACAGAATAACCTCTCAAGCCATCAAAATACCACAAAAAAGACGTCACTTACGTATTGCACACTGCCATGGTCTGACATGACTCTCCCGTACAAAATTCAGAGATTGTACTATACTGTAAATTGATATGATGGAAAAAGGTTGTTGCTGAAAGAGAAAAAAAGACACACTAATACTTTTGGCTGCAGAAGATATAGAATTGTGAGCTGCACAATTATATATTATTTTAAATTATACATCATTTGAGGTGTTTCACTCGTCATTTCCACAAACCAAATGCAATATTGTCAAACATTTTTCTTTCCTTCTGGTGAAGGATGGTTTCCATGGCAATAAAATATACATATGAAGTTTATTACCCACATTTTTATAATGTAGATTTTCAACTCGATATAGTTCAGTTTGGTATAGACACAAACAAGAGTCAGCTTAGGAATTTTATCCCAACCTCTGCTCATCTAAGAGTGGCGTTTAGTATGGCTGCTTAATTCTTAAATTTGGAAAATGTAGGAGGATCATACACAAGGCTTTATAGAGCAGGCTTGATCTACAACTAAGAAGCAACAATGAGATTAAAAATTGGGGCAGCAGAGAGTGATTCACTAATTGCTTCATTTCCAAAGCAGTGTCAAGGGGTTCTTCCGCAGGTGAATAGTGACTGGAAAGGGGTCATTTTAACCATGACACTTAGACTGTGGACTATCTGCCCCAGGCATGTTTGACTAGCACTTTCTATGTTAAACCTTAAAAGTCAGGATAAGCTCTTTTTTCTTCTCTCATGATGCCTGACTTTAGGTGAACATGTTTTGCTGGTTTATCATTTATTTGTTATATTTATATTCTGCCTTTTCTTTAATTAGCTCAAGGCACCAATTATAGCTTTCATCCTTTCCGCTTTTATCCTAATGAGACCCTGTGAGGTAGGTGAAACAGAGATTGGATCAAGGTTACTTTATGGGTTATATGGCTGACTGGGGATTTGAACACAGGTCTCCCAAGTCCTAGACCAAAACTATAACCATTATACTACACTGGATGTTTTATTTCTCTGATTTCTTATGCAATCTTAAACCACCCTATAATTAAATATTTTAAATAAATACATTAAATGATCATATAACTAGAAATTCTTTTTTTAAAAAATATTTTTTTTCCCAACATATAGCTTACAAATATACAAAAACAACATCCTACAAGCTAGTGCAGTGTAGTGACCACTGTGCCAAACAAAGATCAGGAGACTGACCAGATTTAAATACCACTTCAGTCATGAAACTGAACTGATGAGCTTTGGGGCACTCACACACTCCTAGACTATCCTACCTCTCAAGATCATTATAAGAATAAAACAGGCAAGGGAGAATTTTAGCACCTTGGAAATCTGAATAAATAAATAAAATATGCTTGTACATTCCATACTGAAATATTTATTTCCAAGGCCAATTTCTGACAACTTCTGCACATACATTTCAAAATTTTAAGTAAAGAACTTTCTCATTAAAAATAGCCCTGAATCTTTCACAGCTAGGGTTAACACCCACAGCACACTGGTTTCATCAACATACCACTCAACGAGTAGGATATTTGTATTTCCAAAGAAATACAAATGTCTTGTCCTAAACTTGGGATCTAAATCCTTCAACACATTGTTCTCACACTAACCAGAAATACAGACATTAATGCTGTATCCCCATATTTAGACTGCTGCCTCCAATTTGTAACTAGGGCTCAGTTTTTAGAAACCTCTTCTAAAGCAGGTCTCTCTAATGACTTCTAAAACACTTAATGTACAATGTAAATGTTAAAACGTAGCTTTAAACATTTTCTATCTTGCTGAACAATCCTGTCCCCCATCAATTCCTTTTAACTGAAAAAAAGATCTGCTGACAGCATGTTAGTAGAAGAACTTTGTTTCCTATAAATATCACAGTACTTACTGTTGCTAGCTAGCCACTCATTAAGGTCGATTTCTCGTGGTAACATGACTAACTCTTTGAATTCAAAGTCAGTAATCCTGGATTTTGTATATTCTGGCTCCAGGTAGAGTTTCTTTTCTTCTGGTGCAGGCTTTTTACCATTTGGTTTTCCTTTCGATTTCCTGAAAAAGAAATAGTGCCATGAATCATCAGTGATGCGCAACTACCTATATTGACTTGACCCATATTTTAGCTTCAACTATATAATCCAACTTTTCTTTGTCATCAAAGGGAACCTGCTGTTAGCATGTGCCTTATAGGCAGGGCTTCTAAGAGCAACTTGTGGAATGACATATTTCTTCAGTTACACATGATCTGCATATGCTTTTGCATCCTTCCTCTTCCCTGGCAAACAAATTATGAAAACTAGAAAACATGGCAAATTGTTTCATTTAACGTATTCTCGAAGAGTTTCACGGCCAAGCAAGTCTTCCTTCTACGGTTGACAAATGGCATTTTCCGATAACACAGGCATCCATTTAAGAAAACTGATTTAAAATATTTGAACAATATATAAATTCAGGAGGCATATTCTGAATTTTTATAGGAAAGATAAAATTTTAAATCCTTGGGGTGCTTTGGTACTTCCATAAGACTAACAAACTGAGATGCAGTAGGTAATGAAAGAAATTCAAGATAAGCCTTCAAGACAGCAGAGACCTACTATACACCAGAAAAAGCCATAATGTAGAAAAAGCCACAATAACACAACCAGTAAGGCCTACATGAGGAAGTTTGCAACTCAGATTAATGTAATGATTTGCACCTGCTCTTAAACTATTGCATGTTTTCACACTAACTCACTTTAGTTGCATCTGCTTTTCAGTTATATCCTCACCTTTTTTCAAAGTGAACCTGAGGCAACGAACAAAGGATTTCTAGACCATCTCCCATCCAAACAATGGCTTACAGGGAATGCTACAGATGCCTCCATTGGTTCTCATTCATGTTGAGTCATGATTCAACTATCAGATATTGCTCAACAGGAAGGAATATTACAAGTTATCTACTCATGCAAAGTACTGTTTAAATATTTATTTCTCAGAGTGGCCCAACTGCAATAACGTGAAGCCATTTGCTTGACATCTTCCTCCCCCAGGAATGCCAAGCTCCAATCATGTAACCAGTTTATTCTAGCAGTGAACAGCACAATCTAGTTAAAACTATGCACTTTGCCTCAAGCAAACCCACACTACCATGCATTTACCTCATTCCAAAGAGAAGTTTGCAAAAGTAAGCACCTTGATATGATAAGCAAACTAGGTAAGTTCTGTATGGTGCACTTTTAATTCTTCTCTTAGAAAGTTTTGTGTATAGAAAATAAGCAAACAGACTAAGACACAATATTTAGGATGAACTGGAACAGAAAAACAAACAGAATTTAGGATGAACCAAAGTTAAAAAAGAAAGAAAAGAAAAAAAGATGGCCAAACTTGAAAATTACATGAACAACAGAATTGTCAGAAGCATGGCATCGCAATATTTCAATCAAAGGGCAATAGTACTGTATAGCAGTGGTCCCCAACCTTGGGCCTCCAGATGTTCTTGGACTGCAACTCCCAGAAGCCTTCACCACCACCTCTGCTGGCC